CGACTATAGTGCTTAGGTTCGTTTGTAAATGGTAAAAACAACCTATTTCTTGATATACATAGGAATAAAGAGTGCGGAAATTTAGGTGGGTATTTGCTTGGATTCCAAGCTCAGGTGTTTCTTTGATGTGAGAGCATGTAGGTGTAATAAATGATTGATTGTGTCCCAAAATGGGGGAATATCTCCCTATTTATAGGGTCGTTGGGAGGTGTGCCCCTATCTAGGTCACTTGACCTAGATTTTAGTGGGCTGCGCCATTTTTCGGCGTTCTTGGAAATTAGGCCCTTGAAGGCCGCAATTTCAGGAGATATCTGAAGGGGACACGTGTCAGATGGCTATTGGTCCACTTGGACCAGCCTGGGCTTGACACGTGGCCTTCTCTCATTGGTCCACATGTCTAGGGTAGTTTTACCCTAAACATTTGCCCCTCACAGGGATCACGTGGCGGGCCACGTGACGCCTGTGACACGTGTCCATCTGTGAGAGATGAACAGTGAAAACGACTAGTAAAATTTAGGGTATGACGGGGATGCCCCCATTTCACTCTTCTATAAATAGGGGTTTACCCCCCTCCCTTCTGTCACTATTTTCATTATTTTGACTTTCTAGAGAGAGAGAGAGAGAGAGAGAGAGATTCTTAGAGAGAGATACTCTGATCCCATCTGCATCAGATTCTCAAGATTTCCGTGTGCTCACTTTGACAACACCCGATCACCCGTTTGTAGCAATTTTCAGAGTTTTTCAAAGCTAAAGTAAGGTAACCGCCTGTACCCTCTTTCAGCTTTTCCTTCATTTCAATTTGTATACATTCTTTCTTCTGAATTTATACATAGTCTTTAAAAATAAAAATGAGCTCTCAATCCACACACTCGACACTGCCTAGGAAATTCAGCCGGTCTCTCGGTACGGCTGAATCTAGAACAGGGGGTGCCTTTTCTAGACCGTCGGAACTGCTGTGCTCATCCCCAAATTCCTCCCTCTCTGTGTTCGTGCAGGACACAATGGCTAGAGTTAAACAAACGACTATTAAGCCTAGAAGCCGGCGCACTATGGAAGTGCCCACGGATGAGGTTGTTTTGGATGGGGAACAAGAGGAATTGGAGGGGAGAAGTGGTTCCGATGATGAGGCTCCCTCATCCTCTAGTATTTCAACTGTGAGGGAGGTAGGCGGTGAAAAAGCCGCCTCTTCTCATGGATTCGGGGAAGAGACAGGCGGCAATGCTGCCGCTGAAAGATCGGGAGCCGAAGCATCTGGCTCCGATCAAGATAATTTTGCGGCTGACTACCAACAGCCGGCTAAAGCTTCAGCTAACCCTGACCCGAAGAAGATTAGAACGCTTCTGGGTGATATAGCCTTGCTGAAGAGCGGCTTTAAGGCCTTCAAAGAGAAACACCCCTTTGGATAGGGGTGGGAAATTATTGTTCCGCCTGGGGATGCTGTCATGGCATGGGAGGACAACATTGAAAATGCAGACAACTAATTTGTCTGCTATGAGGCGGTAATAGAAGCCGGCCTCCGGTTCCCCCTCCATACTAGGATTAGAAAAATTCTTAAGGGGTACGATCTAGGCGTCTGGCAGCTCACTCCAAACTCGTGGGTGAATATATGATGAGTGGCATTTATGCCACTCTTTTATCCTTTTTTCTCTAAGAATTCTCCCCTCATTTGCACTTGTTTGGCCCTTTTCTAAGCATTTTTACCTTAGTTTTGTTTTCTCCTTTCCTTTCCCTTCTCTTTTATCTTACTTTTTCCTAGATTTTTGCCTACTCTTTACTTTGATTTCCATGCTTGTGTTTTGTAGGAACCGGGGTCTTCAAAGAGGAGAAAGATTAAGTTGAATTGGAGCTAAGGAAAGCAAGTTCTATAGGAGGTATGGTCGAACTCAAGAAAGGTTCGGTCGAACCTTAGGTGTGACCGAACCTGCACAAGGTTCGACCAAACTTTGGAGGCAGGAACTTTTTAAATTTCAGTATTTTGCAGAAGCGGTCGAACCCCCGAAGTTCGACCGAACCAGGAGTAGGGAGGTTCGACCGAACCTACCCATGGTTCGGCCGAATCTACCCTGATGTTCGACCGAACCTACCCGTGGTTTGGTCGAACCTTTTGTCGACTTCAGCCAGTTGTGTACGGACTATATTAGTCCCGTTTTAGAACATTTGAATGTAATGAGTTTGACTTAGTTCTAATATGATAATATTAGGTTAATTTAGAGAGAAAAAAGTGGATTATTACTCAAGTTTCCTTATTGTATACATTTTTGGTCAAGTTTAATCTTTAACCAAGAAACATATTAAGCTTTCATATTTCATTAATTCTTTCTTTAGTAATCTCTAATCCTTTCCTTTAGCTTTATTTATTTTCTTAATTGTTGCTTATTTTTTGTTAATCTTATTAGTTCATCTAGTTGTTATTGATTTCATTGTTTTTAATCATGTTTTGTTTTGATTTTCTTGAGTTTGTTTCTAGTTTTGGTATTATGTCAAATCTCCCTTCTCTAGGCTAATCTTTTAGCTAGGGGAAGGGGGTGGAAAATATGAGCTGATATTGGATGAATGATGATGGTTGGATTGAACTCATGCCATAAATTGATGAAAGACATGATTTTTAATAGCTTGAGATTATTATTGCACTCTATTTGATGTTTTCTAGTTTAAATGCATGAAAGTGATTTGTACTAGATTAAGATCATCTCTATTTTAATGATTGCATGAGAATCTAATATATATATATATATATAAAGGGGAGTTTTTTTCACAAGTTTTTAGAGAGCCACGTATGATTTAATTTTTTCAACGCGCCATGTAGGATAATAAATTTTAGTGGTAGCCAGTTAAATACGAGATTATTAATTTCTTTTAGAATTAAATAATTTAACTGGCACGTAAGCAAAATTAGCGAATGAGATTATCCAGTTTAAATTAATTAAATATAAAATATTATCTTTTAATATCAGGAATTTTATCTAAATATTTAACAATTTTTAGCACATAAATATGTATGTAAAAATATTATTTTAAAAAATTCAAACAAACCGTGCATCGCACGGGCTTCATCTAGTGAGTTATTAAAGTGGAGTTTTTATGGATTGTGTTTCTTTATTCTCTTAATTTGATTGTAACTAATAGGATGCATGAGAATTATCCTTATTAGTGTAGACCTCTTTAATTGATTTGCCTAGACTATTGCATGAGAATGAATTGTTTTGGTAGAATCTTGTGTCCTTTGGCATGTGTTTCATGATAATCATTATTATTTTCCTTCATATTTGACACGCCCGTATCCCTCGCGTCATTTCCCCTTGATTTTAATCATCATTTTCTTGCTTACTTGTAGTTTTAGTGTTCCTACTCAACAAAACCAACAAAAACAATTCCCTTTTTACTCTTGCATTAGTGATTATTGATGTTGAATTAGTGTGCTTCCTTAGTGGTTCAACTCTTTACTTGAAACTAACTAGTTTGGTGTATGTTTAGGTATTATAAATGATTAATTTGATTAGGGTAGTAGCTTAACGATCTATTCATCCCTCGATCAAATTTTGGCACCGTTGCCGGGGAGGCGGCTTGTTTAGCTTCTACTATTGCTTTTGTTAGAGTCATTTTACCTGCTTTTCTTTTTGTTTTGTTTGTTTTATCATCCTTGTCATTGCTAATTGTTTGCTTAGCTTTGGTGAATGCTTAGGAGGTCTCAAGGAGCACCCTCACATCAAATTGACCACGAGATCAACCGAACCTTGAGACAAGTCCGTAGGCTTTATCAAGACGAGGGAAGAGGTTTTGGTGATATAATTGATAGCGAGAGTGATTCTTACTCTTCAAGTTCACAAAGAGGATCAATGGCGGGACAAGAAGATGATGTTTTGTTACGTGAGTTCAGAAATCCAGAGGATTATGAGCTCACGGGAGGGATCTTGCTACTCGTCACGGAAACCAACTTCTAAATCCATCCTCAATATACTAGAATGGTCCAATCGGAGCAATTTTCCGGAAGTGCAAGTGAGGACCCTATTGAACATGGACCGATTCCTTGAGTTGTGCGCAATGATGCAAACCAATGAAGTGAGCCAAGACTACATTCGTATGCACCTTTTCCGGAAATCTCTCACTGGAGGAGCAAAGAAATGGCTAAAGCAAGTAAAGCCTAACACTCTCACAACATGTATGGAGGTGGTAAAGGCGTTCTTGAAGTGATTTATCTCCGAGGAGAAGACCGCCGAAATGAGAAGGAAAATCGCATCGTTTGAGCAAGAAGCCAATGAAATTCTTGGTGAAGCTAGGGAGAGATTCAAAGAATTGGTGCAAGCGTGTCCCCAACATGAGTACAATCAAGGGTTGCTCATGCGGTTTTTCTACGATGGATTAGAGCCCATGTCAAGAGCCAATATGGATGCGGGGGCGGGTGGTCAATTAATCAAAATCCCTCAAAATCAAGTTGAAGCCACAATAGAAGAGGTAGCAAAGAATTACTCTTGGGGGGGGGGGGGAGAAGAAGAAATGCTCCAAAGAAAGGTGGTATTTACGAATTGGAGAAAGTTGATCAATTGCAACATCAAATTGATCAACTAACAAAAGGGCTTTCCAAGTTCAACACGAGTGTGAGTGCAAGTTCAAGCGGTGGAACAAGCTCCTTTCAAGTTAACTCTTTATCTTGTCAAAATTGTGGAGGAACGAACCATGATACATCTTATTGTGGAGGTTTGAGCCCAGAGCATGTAGCGGCAAACAAGTCAAGGCAAGAGGGATTTAGAGGAAGCGGTGGTGGAGTAGCTTGGAGACAACCACCACCCGGGTTTGCATATCAACCTCAACAATGAAACCAACAAGCTCAACCTACCTACAGCTCCAACCCTCAATATCAAAATCCACTTCCATATCAACCCCAAAACCTAAGAGGAAGCTATCCAAGGAACAACCAATATAACAATCAAACCTAAGCACCTCAAAGAAATCAAGAACAAGCACCTCAAGCGGAGCTAACACAAACTCAACTCCTTCAAGCCATGCATGCTCAAATGCAAACTTTTGGGCAACAAATGCAAGAGATAAGATCTCACAACAAGATGGTTAATTCACAACTAGCTCAATTGACCGAGAGAGCTCCTTTCAATTCACCATCTACTCTATCCGGACAACCACAACCTAACCCTTCTCACAACTCAAAACCCGATACATGCAAGGCGATCACAGGTTCAGGAACTTCCTATGAAGGGCCAAATGAGGGGGATAGTGAGGAAAAGAAGGGAGGACAGGAGAGTGTGAATGAAAACAAGGGAGGTGAGAAAGAAAAATTTGATGAGATAGAAGGAGGTTCGGAGAAGAATAAACTTGACAATGAGAAGACAACTTCAATTCCTAGTGAGGCTAGGAACCTTGATGGACCGGTTCCTTTTCCCGGTCGGCTTGCGGAGAGGAAGTTGAATGACAAGTTTGCAAAATTCCTTAGGGTCATGAAGAATTTGCACATCAACCTCCCTTTCTTTGAAGTTGTGACATAAATGCCATCTTACTCCAAGTTCCTCAAAGATATTCTCACCAACAAGAGAAAGCTCAATGATGAGCTTATCACCCTTCCACATCAAGTGAGTGCTCTTGTCATACATAAGATGCCCAAGAAGGAAAAAGACCCGGGAAGCTTCACTTTGCCGGTGAAAATTGGGAACATGGAAGCTAGGGGCGCCTTAGCCGATCTTGGAGCAAGTGTTAGTTTAATCCCTCTATCCATTGCTCAAAAACACAATATAGAGATGATCCCTACAAGGAAGACAATTCAATTGGCCGATCGGTTGGTGAAATTACCTTGTGGAGAGCTTGAGGATGTTCCTTTTGGTTGGTTGAAGTGTGCATAGGAGGGTAGTGTAGTAGGATAGTAGCTTGTGCATGAGGAGGACCATTGAGGATAATGGTTTTGTTGTAGTTGATGATGATTTGTTAATGATGATGATGATTTTTTGTTGACGATGATGATGATGATAATGTTTTTATGATGATTATTATTGATAATTTGATAAGTTTTTGAGTTTTTGTGTAGATGGAGATGCTCCCAAGGAAAAATCCAGACAATCCAAACTCCCTTAATCCAAACTTTGTAGATAGCCTTTTTTTTATTTACTTATTTCTTCCTTTTGTTTATAGCTTTAGTCTCCTTTGTTTATTAATTTTTTTCTTTTATTCTTGTTTTATCTTAGTAGTTTCTTTTGTTTTGGCTCGCTTTTCAAGCTTGGAAATGGAGAAGAAGGAAGTTAAGGGGCAACTCGAGCTCCCTTGGTGAGATTGTATGATTTATCTTGTCTTCCATTTCAAGCGACGTTTGGTGAGACCTTTCCTCTCTTCTATTTTCTTTTTATTTGGGTGTTTAGTTTAGGTTTAGCTTAGGAAGAAGTTGAATGGTTCAAGGATGTTTGCTTTTGGTTCTATGAGACCTGGGATTGTTGATGTTGTTATCAAACGATCACTTGTATGACGATTGGGATTTATTTGGATCATATGCCTCATTCGTGAACCTTTTTGATTTCTTCCTCCTTTTTTTTTTGTTTTCCCTTTTTTGTGTTACAAACATGACTATGTCAAATGGAAATGATTTTTGATTTGGAATTTTCTCATTCATTTGGATTGGTTTGCCTCTCATGATGATGTGTCTTTGAATGCTTATCTTCCTAGTTGATGAGGGTTTACATGGTTTGAGAATGCTTAGGGTTGAGTTAGACACATTTTAAGCTAAGGTAGCACGGTTAAGAACTTTTGTGGACGTTTGAACCCCTAGCTCACGGGTAGGGGTGAAAGTAATTCGGATTAAAACCGAACCGAACCGAAAATCAAACCGAATTACTAATTCGGTTTGGATTTTTTTTTTGAATTTGGATTGGATCGGATTGGAAAAATTAAAAAATATGGATTATGGATTGGATTCGGTTTGAGGTTTTAAAAAACCGAAAACCGAATTACAAACCGAATTTCGACCCAATAATTTAAGCTCATTTTCTTTTTTAAATTATCCAACTACTTTCCCCTTTCATATATAAACTTAAAAAAAAAACCTAATTCTCAATTTTCCTTTCTTAATATCTTACTCTCTCACAAAGAATGTAGTTAACAAGAAATGATTGTAGGATTTTGTAGGTTAAGTTCGAGTTTCGGGTTTGAATGCTGCAAAATAAAGGAACAAAATTCGGTTTGGATTGGATTCTAATTTGAAAAACCGAATTAATTCGGTTTGGATTGGATTGGATCGAATCATAATTCGGGTTGGATTCGGATTGAGATTTCCAAAACCGAATTAATTCAGATTGGATTCTGTAGACACCCATTTGTGTCTCCCCAAAACCAAACCCAGTGATGAGTACCTTTCGTGTCGAATCATAATCGAATGAAGTGAAAGTGTGGAAAGTCTAGTGTTGCGGAAAGTTTTAATTCTTTTCTTTTCTCTCTGTTTTTGAAAACTTATTTTAAGAAAAAAGCCAATCCAGTTTGGTTGGTTCATGATATGGGTCCAATAGTAGTGTAGTTGGATGGGGCTTTTAGCTTTCCAACGATATATATAAGCCCAATTCCGATGAATATTGAGGAAATTATGGCCAATTTACTAACTGGGCCCGATTTGAGTCTTATATGCGGCCCAATGATCTTGGGGAGGGCCTAATATGATTTATCATTCCTAATGCAATTAGGAATGGTTTTAGTCTTCTAGAATCTACTAGAAGGTTCTTTTCATTCCTAATTCATTAGCATTGATAAATTGACTTTTGACTTTTTAGAGTTTTAATTAAAATCAAATGGCATTTTTGAGGAAATTATATGATTTTATCCTCCAGTACGGTAAACTTATCTGATTTTCGAAAACGCATTGGAAATAAGCTTGGCGCCTAACCCCAGGCCTTGGTGCCTGGAACCAGGCCTGGCGCTAGCCATAGGCGCCTGGCGCTAGTGTTGATGCCTGGCGCCAGTTAGCCAAGGGTGGCGCTAGCTCTGTTTTTTGTGCGTTAGACTCTGTTTTGTTTATTTTATCTTTTTGGCTAATTTTCTCTATAAATATCGTATTAAATACTCCGTTTTCATTCACCAATTCTCTTCATTCACAAGTTTCCATTCGTATTCTTTAATTCATTCATCTCTTTCTTTCTTTCTTCTAAACTTTGTTTTCTCATACAAAATTCCGCATTCATTAGATCTAGAAACACCTAGCCATATTCGAAGTTGCCTTTGCCCTAGACGTGAAAGGTTTTAATTTCAGAGGGTTTGGTCCCAAATCTCTCTTTCAATTATTTAATTTAATTGTTGATTATTATTTTCCTTGAAGTTACTAACGTGTGTATTTTGTTATTAGAAATAGGTACGAGGCATCAAAGTAAGTATTTTAATTGATTTATTGATATTATGATGTAGAAATCATGTTTACATTGTTATTATGATATTCCTAGTATCATGTCTAGGGTATTTTTTAATATTAAATATGATTGTTGTGATGCTTCCTATGTTCTTCCTAATATTTATGATTGTTAGTATCATGTTAGGGCTAAAGATTTGATTTTTATTGCTTAGTGACATGCTAGGGTTTGTTATTAATCTTGTTAATATCATGCCTAGGATCTTGCTATTATTATTATGCTTTAATATTAACATGAACACGATTATTATTATTCATGATTATTATTATGATGATTATGATTATTATGTTGCTTGATGATATTTATTGTTGTTGCTTGATCACGCCTTTTATGCATGTTTAAAGGGAATTGGTAATTGTAATCACGCTTAATAAGATAATTAATAATCTTGTTAGGGTTAATTTGATTATAATTCAAGTGATCGCCAATAATAGTTTATTTGTGCATTAATATTCAACCAACATAGATAAAAAGGTTTAGGGTTAATCCTATTGATTGTATGTTAGTCAGAAAGCGCACATGAATACGATCAGAATAAAGTAGAGGCCTATTATTAGGGCAGGTTCAATCTCTTTTAGGTTGGATTTGTACCATCATCCCCTGTAGGCGTCGTTCGAAGTGCGTCTACATTAAAAGCATGTGGTGAATATGCTTGGCACTCATAGGTTGTGGGAATTGACATATACGATTAGGGACAAGGAAAGTAGGGAGCCGCCAACAAATTTTTAAGGAACTTGTAAACCGTTCACGGATCACAAAGGCAACCACGATAAAGGGACAACGAAGGCAACAACGATTGACCCGTGAAGGTTACACCCCCCATTCATAATCCATGAGATTACTAACTCTATATGGTTCGGAACCACAAAAGGAGGAACGGGGATGATGGTACGAAGTGAGTCATGGAGTCACATTCGCCCGTATTGGCCTCTACTCGATTCTTATAGTGAAAAATGATTCCTGCGATCTCAAAGACATACAAATAAAGATTCAATTTGCTCTAAACTATTATTAAGCTAAATTGGTTGAATATTAATGCAACACATAATTCTAAAATATTTGTGATCACTTGAATTAACAACAAGATTAAAAAGGAACCTAAACCGGTTATCCAAATTAACTTATTAGGCGTGATTTTCAATTACATATTCTCTTTAACATGCAATATGGTGATCAATAAATAATAGAATAACATCAATATTGGAAGCAATTTAAAAATAAATTGTTAGTCAAATCAAATATAAATAAACTAATCATGATACTAGCAATATAATAATAAAATAAGAGTAATTAAATTAATTAATTACTCACATTCTGCGCGTTCCTTTAAATTGCTACATCATGAATAAACTGTTAGTAACTTCAATAAAAATATAAAACAAATTAAAATTAAATTAAATTAATATAGATTTGATTTGGTCCAAACCCTCAGTTATTTATACCTTTCACGCTTTGGTTTAAGTATAGAACTTGGGGTATTGTATAAACTCCTTGGAGTGCTTAATTAGGGGAAGTATTTTGAGAAAATAGGATGGCTAGTATTTAGGCTAAAGAGGGAGAAGATAATTATTTTATGATCAACCTTGTTGATGTTCTAAAAAAGGGGAGATATGACCTCTATTTATAGAGAAAAAAGAAGGGTCGAAAAATTAAGATAAGATCCGAATTAAATCGGAATAAAACTCGATAGACAGCAGTTTTTGCGTTTTTGTTTTTATCATATCTTTTGATCCAAAAATCGGGATAAGAAAAAGAGAAAGAAAAACGGAACCGCCGTGTCACGGTTGCCGTTCCCGTGTCACGGTGAGACCGGACGACCGTTGGTTGTTTTAACCGTGGCGCGGCGATTTGTGTGAGCATGTAGATGAAAATGGGGAAGATAAAGAGAGGAGATGAATAAGGAAATGGCAAAATGGTGAAAAAAGTGAAGCAGAAGTGTGAATTTAAAGCCAAAAAAGTAACCGTTACGCACCCCATTCACCGTGCCACGGTTACCGTTACCATGTCACGGTACACTGATGACGTGGCGCGCTGGGATTCGATG